GTACGTGCTCAGACACACACACACACACACACACACACACACACACACACACACACACACACACACACACACACACACACACACACACACACACAAATATATATATACAGTACAAGTATATTTATACTGCACAATCCTTTTTCCTTCACTCCTAAAAAATCCTGAGCTTTTATATCGATGACAAATAACTAGAATCTCTCTGACACACTCAGTTTTCTCAGCATTGAAAGAAAGACACTCAGACAATAGCCTCTTAAGGGAAAGTAGCTTTATTCAGCTCTGACTATTAATAACCTTGTTCAACAGAATTGACAACATGTTCACATTTCTCAAGTATCCTGATTATCCACTTATGAAAATTGATTTAATTTAAGTGACTGCTCGTTTGCCTCCCGTTCTCCTTCCTGGTTCAGATTTGTTCATTTACATTCACGTGGTTGTCACATTGATTGGGAATTCAGTCGCGGTAAAACTTTTGATATCCCCGTGGCTTAAAGTGGAATCGCTGACCTCTGCCAGAGGGAGTCTGGGCAACATGTTTTAGGTTCATTATCACAATTTATTTTATGAGGTCTCACATAATCTGATACTCATCTAAGATCATATGCATATTTCTGCTAACACGCACTTTGATCGTGTTTTGGCCCTCCAGGTGATTTCCAGTTCTCGGTATCGTCGGATGATAACTCTGAGCTCTGGCTGAGTCCTGATGAGAGCCCTCTCAATGCCAGACTGCTGGTCTATGTCGGGCAGGTAAGCGCTGTGCTGCACTCTTTAATGATATCTGAACCAGAGGGAGTCACTCCACTGAAAAACAGCAAGGTCCCATTATTTTTAATGCTTATTCTCAGCAAATTCACTAAGTGCACATTTCTAACTCTATGAATTCATTCCCTGGTTCGAACTGAGGATAGTTCACTGCCCTAATAAAACCTGTCTGTTTGGAATGGACTGTTTTCTCGCTCCGGAGCTGCTTCAGAATTATTTGTTGTCATTAGTGAGTTCTCCTCAAACATCAATAATATGTCACATAGTTATTGTTTGTGTGCTGGATGTTGTGAGCAGAGATTTTTATAAACAGTGTATGTTGAAGAGCGAAGTTAGAAAACGTTTATATAGATAGATATATGGAATAATAAATACTGGTAGTACAAGATGTGCAAAGAAGTCAAAACCATATCACTACATGACATCGTGATTTATTATATAACATGAAATCACGGCTCTAAATGGCGTCTAATGAATTCCCTTCCTTTCACTCATGGACACGACAGAGAGGATGTTGGAGGGTATCATTTTATAAATGTAACTATTCATTTAGTCATGAGGTCAAGAGTCATAATACATCTGCTCCTGCTCGGTCGACAAACACAAGCCCTTCATTCCACCAGAGCTCCAGCGTACACCAACAGGAAGGACACATGAGCGATTTGACCTTGTTCGTCTTTAGTAATCACCCGCTCAACCTCGTGTCACCATCCCAACGCGCAAGCAATCACTCACCTTCAGCACGCGGCTCAGAACGCCAGTGACTCAAATCCTCCTGTAGAACATCCTGTGAAAAATCGTTGTCCTTTCCCATCTATCCTTGAAGTCCCCTCCGCCCGTGATCGAATAACAGTCAAGGTTTTCTTCTGCTGGCTTTACTAATGAAGGTTTCTTGGTTGACCCGTATGAATGCTCTTTGTAAATTTGTGCTAAAAGAGCAAAGGTCCAGCCATGGAGCCATCTGTATTCCAACAGGATGCGGAGAAGTTACCAGGTTTCCACACGGGCTGAGATTCATTAGCTGGCAGTGAATATTGATGTGACATTTAGCAGTGGAGAAATATCATTTAGAGAACGGCAGGGGAGCGAGCGCCGTGGCCAGGGATCATTCATTCTGCCGGTGGCTGACGGACAGGCCTTGCTGCCTCCTCTGTCTTCAGAGACAAATAAAACTTGGGACTCCGATCCTCATTATGTGACCCATCTGTCTGGGAAAAAGAAGTCTTACAAGGAATGTTATTCCGCTGAAATACTGTTTACTGCATTTTTTATAAATTTCATATGCAGCACAGCGTGTAGTGATGTCCTCGCATATCACAGATTTTATGACTAAAACAGGTAAATCCGTACTAATCTGAAAAGAGGGTTTACTGCCAAGGCTGTTTTTTAAGTACTTCAGCTCTAAAAAGAGGTCGAAAACTTTTCTCTGTGCTGTTTAAATCCTCATAATTACTCAGAGCTCTGAATAATAAATAGATAATAGCTTGTAATTTTATGTGTAAATGAGTAATGATGTAGTAACCACACTGTGCTACAGTATCTCCACCTCTGGAAAAATGAGGGTGAGAAAGGTAAAGGCTTGTTTGTCCGGGTCGACGCCTTTCAACAGCATGTCGGTAGTTTCCAAATACATGCTTTTATACAGTATATACATATATTGACTAAATAATAAATCCAAACAAAGCAGTCAAGAAGAAAAGCCTATATCTCTTTATATTGTGAATTTCTGTGGTCTTAATCTCAGAACATCTACAGTGAACATGGTGTAGTTTCTCTTTTTAGCTTGAGGACGTTTGGAACTGGAATTTCTTCACATCCGTCACAAACGTTTGCTCGGACTGAAATATGAATTGATTTGATTTTCGTTGTCAGGGGTCAAGGTCACTGTGACCTCACGTCCATCCCGCTCTTACGAGCACAGTATCTCAGAAGCTCCTCGGTGGTAACGTCCATTAGGACTCAGTGATGAGCTGATTAGAATTTGGAAGTAAAGGGTTAAAGTTCAACTTCACTGTGACCACAGGGAACTTTAATAGAAATAATGACATCAGTATTTCTCACATACATATACACAAACACACACACATACTATAAAGACAGTGCTGTAATCCTGATTCTCACAGAGTAATAGTTCTTCTGTTCCATTCCTCACACACCAGCTGGTCGGAGTGTTTCAGGAGGAGCTTGTAATAAAACCACTCTCCCTGATCCTGCTGTGCACATATTAACGTTCTCAGTGTCAGCGAGGATCATCTATTGTCAGGCCTCAGCGCTCAACATACTTTTTGCCTCACAGCTAATCTCTAATGAGATTTTCCTTCAATCAGAATGTCCAGACAGGTCCCGCTGAGCTTCCCACTGACTCCGTCTGATATCGAGAGTCTCATGACAAAGCACACGTATGCAAGTGCTCTGTGTTCTGTGTGTGTGTGTGTGTGTGTGTGAGCATGTGTTTGTTTGTGCACTGACACGTGCAGGCACTCGTGTATCATTTGTGCTGTGATACCTCTTCTGTCTGCTCCATAATGCAGCCACGAAGACGCAGACAGGAAACTGGATGAGAGAGATGTAATCGATACCCGACTCCACGGCAACAGCCGCGGCTCATTTTCAGACAGACGAGACTTTGTCGTTGTGCTGGTAACAGGCGTTATTTCACAACCCAGGATAAGGTTTTTTCTTCTACGCTTTGTTCCACAGTGATGCGCCATCCGAAAACAAAACAACTGTTTTCTCCTCATCTTTAACAAGAAAAGAAAAAGAACAGGTTCCGTGATATTGTGCTCAGAGGTTCACTGTCACAATGTCATGGCTTCCTGTGACACAACCATCAGTACCGTTAATCATGCTTGCCTCTGCAAAGTGTCTGCTGCTCTCTGTTGTTTTTTTCAGTCGGAAAAATAATAAATAGCACAAAATTCAAAATTTATAAATGGACGCCCCAAAGATTATGATTTTAAACCTGTTTGCGATGGGTGATTCATCACAGCACGCCTTTATCTGCCTCTGTTCTTGTGGCAGCTGCGTTTCGATTGTAACTGTACCAGCTGTATATCCACCTCTTGATAATGTGGCTTTGACAACAACTCTGTTCTCATAGCATGTGTGTAGATGTTATGTGTTATTATGTACAGCTAGAAAACTGTGAAGAGACAAAGTGAGTGCAGTCTATTGTAACAGGTAGAACTTAGTTCAAGGTCAATGGAGCAATCACACTATAGGCAAGACAGAGTGAGAAAAAGAATACAGCTCTGTGAAGTGATACCACCGGTCAGATGTTTATGATGTCTAGTAAAAAGAGAGTAGAGAAAAAACTGAATTCATAGAAATGTGAGTAATTCCTCCAAATCTTGACCCACAATGTTTGTGTGTGTGTGTGTGGTACCTGGGCTACATTTCAGTTTAAATAACTAATTGGGGACACAACTTTTGTCCCCAATTAGTAAAAATCAGTTTTGGGGTCAGTGGTGCAGGTTAGGGTAAGTCTCCAGGAAATTAATATAAGTTTCCCAAAAGGTGACCTATGAAACTGCTTGTGTGTGTGTGTGTGTGTGTGTGCGTGCTCCTCATGGCCACTTGGCTGCTTGCCGTCTGATTTACCTCCTGCTGGAGGAGGAGATGCTGCTCCCAACCAGCAGTGACTCATCGTTCAGTGGGACGTCATGTCTGTGTGTAGGGTGTGTGCTCAGTGGACTCCCAGTCTGGGGAAGTGGTGTCAGACTATTGGACTATAATGACACACTCTAGTGTAATTTTACTTCATCATGGGACATATGCCATAAGTCTTAACATGAGTCTCAACCATTTGCACAAATTGTGTCACGTATATTACACAACATGATTGATTTTAATTAGAAAGTCGAGGTTTAAAGGTCACTTTAATTTCTCCTGTATAAAAGGCATCAACATTTTAAATAGTATTCTTATCCACATGACATTTAGCTTCATATCCACTCTTAGATAAGCTTCCTTTTGCTGCCACTGTTTGCTGCAGCGTCATTCCTCTTATGAATTCATATTTACTGTGCAAACAAATGAAATGATCATGTTTATGCCTGCACGCAGATTCCTTTTACTTATTTAAAAAAAAAAAATAGAAGAAAGATTTGCTGTCTTGAGCGTCGGCAGTAGATAAGAGATGAATATTTTTGCGATGCCGCCTGCTGCAGTGATCTCTCTCTTTTTCATCTGCTGAACAACAGCCCTTTCAGGAAAAAGCAATTCACTCACAGACAGAATATAAACATGTACGTACAGCGAGACATTAGAGACATTTTCAAGTTTCTCATTTATATTCACAAGTTTAAAATCCCAGACAGTTTTTTTTTTTGTTGTTGTCCTTCTTCTGCTTTGAAAAATTTCAAAGTTCTGCTGCAGGTGCCTGCGTCATTCACCTACGATTTGTTATATTTGATAAGTTATTTAAGTTTCAGTGAAGGTGTCTTCCTGATTCTTTTGAGAGACACGAGCTGAAATGAGAGTTTGCAGCATTTCACACTTTCCTGTCACACGTCAGGAGGAGCTGAAGAAAACGTAATGAAAAGTTAACGGAGTCCAGGAGTTAAACGAGTTACACGTGTCATGTTTTTATAAAGAAGAAAAGGGTCACAGCCCAAAATCAAGTCAACTCGCATATTGTGTAGGAAGTGTCGGGACTGATGCAGATAATTATCATGTCCACAATCTCTGAGCCCCTTGAATATCGTTCAAGTCCAACTCGTATGTTTCCGCCACTCGAAACACAAAATTTGATTCTTTTTGTTGGTGTTTCAGATTCTGCAGATTTGCCACAATTTAACATCCATAAATGTGAGTTAAGAACTTGTAGGCTTAAGTTTTTGAAGCTCTCCAGTCGACTTCTGGCAGTGTCAAATATTAATAATAGGAAAATCATTTCTGAAGTCAATACACATTTAAAGGATTTGAAAGAAACCTTTTCATCTTGAAAGCTAACTTTGTGAAATTAAACTGTGGGAGCTGGATGAGCTAGTTCCAATATTCCTTTCCAGTGATTTTACTCCTACTCTTTTTTCTTCTGTGCCGGAGGAGGAATAGATGTGAAGCCCGTTGTGCCCTGTGTGGACTACGAGCAGCAGCACGCTGTGGGCTTCAGAGCGAAGGCACAGTAGCGCACATTGTGTCCCTCCTCCTGTCGAGCCAACTGCTTCACCGAGACTCCAAAGGCTTTAGCGCTGCCAGGGGCCTGGTTGATTTTGGACTGACATTACTGCGTGTTTTTGAGTTGTTTTTCCCCTCGTCGCAGCTCTCTTCACATGCCAGCGAACATGCTCAGAGGTGCCATTGTATTATGTGCCATTTCATATGTGTGTGTCATTATGCTGTAGGTGTGTGTTGCTGTGTGTGCTGCTCCGCTGTGAAAACACTGCGGTACCCAGAGTGAGGATCAGCAGCTATTTACAAGCTGAAAGACTCTTGTGATCTGTCGCTCCCTCAATGTCTTCTGACCGGTTTCAAACGGAGACGTGTGGCCAACACAAACAATTAGAGGCATGCCCACTGTGATCTTAGCCTTATTCTTTCATTCTGGATCAGCAGCAGCAGGGGGCCTTAATTAGCTGCGTTGGCTTGCTGAGGAAATGAATGGGCACTGATTCGACCGCGGGGCCAAAGCCGGAGGCCTGAGGGCCCTCGATGAGCCAGCTTCTTAGAGCCAGTGTTGGCAGGGAGTCGCTCTTTCTCGTTTTCTGTCTGTTTTTGTCCATTAGCTCTTGTCTGTTTGATCATTGTGTCAATCTGAACTTGACTCCTGCATTGTCTCTTCATGTTGCTTTGGGGAATATTATCCTATCACTCTCTGTCGCCTCTTTTCCACTGATCAGTGGTGATTTGCAGGTTTACCCCAAAACCTGCGTATACCCACTCATTTTGGTGTAAAAGAGGTGCGTTGGACGTGATCAGGGATTTTGAAGCATCCACAATCAGCTGGTCGGTCCTTCACCAGTGGACGCCCATAAATCCGAAAACTGCTGAATCGATTTCCAAGATTTTGGTGCACCTCAACATTTCTCGTACTGTTTTTATCCCTTGCTCTGGCACTTTGTGCACCCCCTCGCTCTCCTTCTCTCACACCCTCTCTGATCTGGGCCTCTTGTCTTGTGTGTTGCAGCTGGGAACAGAGTGGACCGCTCCAGGCGAGTTCAGCAAGTTCAGGTCCCAGTCCTCCAAGTCTGTGCAGTAAGTACCTGTGACAACTACACACATTTCTCAACGGGACAGTTATTTATTTCACTCTCAAGCCAGGTTGTTTATTTTTTATTTGCTCTGCTGTGTGTAAAAAGAAACCCTGTTAGCATTTAAGTTGACAAGTACACAGCTCCAGAGCATCTTGTTCGACTTCGGTCTTATAGCTGTAAATGGTAATGCGTCTCCATATGTTAAATAGTTGCCTGTAGCAGCCTCTTTTATAACATAACAGCCTCAAAAAGATGTTTCCTGCTCACATGCAGAAGGGAATCGATGACTCAAGTGTTCAGGGAGTCTCTCTTGTGTACAATCACTCGAATGGGGAAGTGGTCTCAGACTTTCGGACCCCGCTGAATGTGTCAGCTATCATAAATAGACGGACTCATCAGGTGTGGAGGACCAGAGCAGTTGTAAGGCCTCTCAATCTCTAAATGCAAGATGAGAACCAATCCAGTCCTGACGGATTCAACACGTCTCTCCCTAATTGCTGGGAGCTGCTGCATAAAAGCAGCTTTTGATGTGAGCACTGATCTGCAGCCAGTTTGCTTCTGAAGTCATTGTTAAGTCTATGTGATTATGCAGCAAGAGATCCCAAAAACAGTGCTCCTATTCCTCTGGGCTCCCACATTTGCCTGATTGGATGAAATAAGCTGTAGAGTGCTGCTTAAATTATTCACACACACACACACACACACACACACACACGTATTTGGTGAAGAATATTTTAGTAATTCTAAATGGTACAAATTTGATGACAATGAGGAGGAAAAACAGTTTTTGCAGTTAAACTGTGGATCCCAGATACAACATCATTTTCAAGGTCAGATATTACTGTGCTTTACTTATTGTACAAAGACTTTATATAAAGATAAGAAAGCTCCCTAAAAGTGAAGCCAGTGCATCTTGGTTGCCACCTGCTGGCAGTATTAGTCATACATCCCGCCCTCTCCATGTTATTGGGTGGGGCATGGACCCAAATAAAAAACCAAAGTCCACATTAAATTCTTTTTTTTGTCACGGTTCTTATCACACTGATATTTGTTCGTGTTCATTTCATCAAAGATGATGAAATATATGTTCCAGGTGATAAACTTTACTTCATGAACCAGCTTGTGATGCAGAGGTGACAGCAGCAGCAGCAGATAGCAGCAGTATTAATAGACGTGTGGAGCAGGCGTGTAAACGTGTTTGAGGTGTGTCGTCTTTGAAACCGTAGCCTAATGGGAACACATCCCAGTGGCCACATGCAGAATGAACTGTATGTTACGTGTTTCTCACACAGACACGGTGTTGCTAAGCAAACATGCTTACTGCACATACTATCAAGCCCTTGCTTCACATTAATTCATTCTACATTTCATTGTTCCCAGGTGCCGTTATGTGTCCCCTCACCCTCATCATAGATGTTTGTGCATTATTACGTGTCATTTTGAGAAGGAGTGAACAACAAGGAAATCCTCGCTGCTCATTAAAAACCACACATCTGTTGCACATCCTGCAACAGACATGTAATGAATGAAAATTTGTGAATGACATAAAGGGGTTTAATAAAGGCCAGGACCTATTGGCGTGTGTTTGTCAGTGCATAGCATTAGCGGGGTCTGGTTGGCACAGCAGGCGCAGCAGACTTCAAGGGAGCGCAGAGAGATGACAAAAGACGAACGAGGAGGAGGAGGTGGAAAGTTTCTTTTCTTCAATTTTCTCTTCCTGTCTGACAAGCATCTTGTGTTCTCCGACAATAACAAGACAACAAAAGCATAGCCAGGCCTTGAATATGGCTGGGAACATTGAAAAGGCTGCGTGGCGGAGAGCGTCGGTCGTGGCAATGCATGTTTCCTGATCTGTTACCGTGTCTTTTAGTGTGGATGGGTGTGCGTTTAAGTGTTTTGTGTTCGCACAGAAACTCTTTTCTGCACGTGTCGCATGCTCTCGGTCATAAACCAGCCAACTCAAAGGGAGCTGCTGCAGAGAACATGCTTCTGTATGCTCTCTGTCCCGCTGAGATCTGAAACAACAGCGATATCAAGTTACGCACATGTGAAATGTCTACCTTGAACTGTGAAGTGATTCACGATCCCACTGTCAGGTCATGAAATGTGGTGCACCAGAGATGAAACGGTTGGGGAAAATGCTGAGGTTTCAGGAGGCGATAGGGCTAATGACGTGATGTCAACTTTCTTTTTTACTTCCATAGCTACACGTTATCACAGGCTTTAGGGCGAATCCGTCAAAGACTGCATGAAAGTTGAGATTAAGATAATTAGCTGAAATCTGGTTTGATGTTTCTGTGCGTGGGCGTGCGTTATAGAATTCACAGGTAAACATAATTTTTAGCGGGTGAATATAAACACATGCCTCTGTGAATTAATGTGCAGTGTGTTTGTTCAGCACCGTGCCTCTTGAAACTCCTCTCTGCATCTAATGACTCTATTGAAACATCCAAAAGCAGAAGCACTTTATTTCTTTTCTTCTTTTTTTTTCTCCGCGCAGTGCGACACGCATCCCTCACACACCATCGCACACAACCTGTTTATAGCGGGGCCCGATGTGCTCTTGAGCGTGGCCAATTGCGTGTGCAGCAGGATTAACAGTCATGCATTCATGAAATTGTATCCTTCAAATGAGCTGGGATGGATTTGAAATGAGCAAATTAGCACCGGAGAACAGAACATTATATCATTTTTGGAAAAAAAAAGAAGTATAATAATACATCAGAGCGCGTGATCAGCAGTAATAATCAGTCATTAGAAAGATTTTATCACCTGATAATTTGAAACATTTGTAAGCCTGTTAAAATAAATATCATGTAATAACTGAGCAAAGTGAAATGAACTCTTTACTGCTGGAATATTACTGTCGGTTTGTAAATGGAAAGCAACAGTGAGAATTATTAGTCATTGCGCAGAAGGCTGCGGCCCTTGGTGACTTGATCCACTTGTGCAATTTGTTTTTGGAGCATAAGTTCAGGGCCATTTGAGCCTATTTACAGACTCCACTCCACCACAGCTACACTCAGAGCCTTGATCAAAGCCACAGTTTAAAACAGCTCTCACACTTAATGTGCAACTGTTTCCACATATTATCGTATTGGGCCCGGAACAGGATGAAATGGGACAGAGCCACAGTAAAATGGTTGAATGGTGCAGAGCAGAACAGAGAGCAGCCCACAGAAATGCAATTGAACATAGGAGAGCAGAAGGAAACACAACAGACACTCCCACTCTAGCTAGGTTTGTTTATTTCATTCTTTCTTTTCTTCTTCACGCTTTGGACTGTGGTTATTTTTACGCCACGGTTCATTGGAGCTGACTAGAGCTGAGTGAACAGTGACTAATGGCTGCCGCAGGGTTGAATCTTATTGTCAGGGAATGATGGAGTTCACTTGAAACACTTCACTTATCTGTTGGAGGCTATTGAAACCAGCAAACACAACCGTAGTGTATATACAGTTTGTGTGTGGCCTGTCATGGGCACCTGGTTGTTTGAAAGGACTAAAGTAGAATAATGCTGCTGGGGGGGGGGGGTCCTTCCTCAGAGAAACAGCAGCAAACAATAACAAAGTCGCTGCATTTCTACAAATCTGAACTCTTGATGTTAATGACATCAAACACTGTACAGACAATATATAGAAACTAGAATACCACATACCTCCACAACAATCACTATTTGAATCTGCACCAAATCGTACACACTTCTAAATATCATCCATTTAAATATGCCTACGCTTAGTTTTTTATAGCTAGATCCATGAATTATTATTATTTTTTTATTGTTTTTAAATTAGTGTGAAAAACTCCCTGAATGGATCTGTGTGCTTATCCGAATTCACACCATCACTGAACTGGTTCCTCCCTCACACATACCGCGTTCTTCCCTCCACCAGTTTACTCGTAATCCCACCAGTAGTTTTTGGCGTCATCCTGATAAATAACAGAAATACAGTCCGTTTAACATTCGGATAATTAAACTTGAGGGCTGCTATTCTCAATAATCCTGTTTGCTCCTCCGTAACTAAAGGCTCCATTTTAGACCTGACGGTGAAATCTCCCCTCAGAGTAAACTGGCACCTCTCATTAACCCCGTATGAGAAATTGAGCCAATAATGATGATAATGAAAGCACAGCACAGAGCAGCGGGATGAAAAGGGAGAGATCATTACACGGAGCGAAGCCTCCTCAAATAATTCGATCCCGAGTCTGGCTAAAAAGTGAAACTCAAACAAAGCAGTCTGTGGGTTTAAATAAGTCATTTTGTACGACTGAACTTTTGACTCAAACACTTGAGCTCTGTGAGGAACAGCTCTGTCTGTTAGTTTGCTCCGATCGACCAGGGAGGAGTTGGACTGGAACGACTCAGTGTGGACCAGTAATGCTTTAACTAAGTGTTTTTGTCTTTGGTTGAAAACAGTAAAATGTTCACAGATAGAAGCTGCTCCCATATACTCACATGATCGCTGGGGCTCAGACACACACAGTCGGGTATCGAACCATAACTTTGCCTCCCCAGATTGAATAAATTGCTGCACTTGCTCCTTTGCTGACACAGCAAACCCTCTTTTGTCTATTCCATCAGTCCTAATCAGGCCATAATAGCAGTTACATTTTATGACTGAATATAAAACTGTAAGAGGTGTGAAAAGGCCAAAGATTGCCAAAAGTTAAGCTTTGCTTCAAATACGTTTTCCTCTCCACCACTGGGGCGAAGCGCTTCTGTTGCTGTGACGTGTGAACGTCCGTCCACAGTGGTAATTTAGAGGCTGGGATGGACGGGGAGGGTTGGAACCATGCAGCTGTTAGAGAAACCACCTGGAGGCAATGACTCACTTTGTTTAGTTTGTGTGTGTGTGAGTGTGTGTGGAGGAGAAATAGTTTTGCACATGTTCTAATTCTGAAAAGTTGAGGATGGAGACTATTTGTCTCTTTTACCTTCTCTCTTTCTCCAACCTCAGCTTCTTTCTTTCAGCTTTCACAAAACCCTTTCTTCAGTTCTTT